GTCCTTCCTCCGACATCCCTGGAGCACTGGCGGAGACTGAAGAGCTGGCATATAAAACTCCCACCATGATGAGGGAGAGCCTGCCCCGACCCCATCCCCCATCCATGTACCGAGCCCCACCTCCAAATTTAGGGAAAGTACGAGTCCCCACGTGCCTCTGGGTTTGCTGATTAAATTAAGTCAGATAACCTCCCAAGCCTCTGTATAGACCTGCAACCTGCCCGCATAACCCAAGGACTCATGAAGCAGCCGCAGCCATGGGCCCAGCACTGTGGACTGCTCCTGGGGCTGGAAGGAAATGCCCCTTTACACGCATACTCCGGGGTATGATATGTGACATATGTATGCATGTGGTGCTCAACGTTTTTTGTTTTTGTTTTTGAGATGGGATCTCACTGTGTTGCCCAGGCTGGTCTCAAACTCCTGGGCTCAAGCGATCCCCTGACCTTGGCCTTTCAAAATGCTGGATTACAGGCATGAGTGCCCCGCCTCAGAGGTGTTGTATTCGTGAGGCGAACGATGATAAACGTTGGGAAGCCATAGATGTAGGGCGGCCGAGTGCCCTGTGTGAGTTTCCTGTGACTGCTGTAACAAACAAGCACAAACAGTCTTGAAATAACACACATCTATGAACTGACAGTGCTGGAGGCCACAAGTCCCAAAGGAGTGCTGCTGGCCTCAAGCAAGATGACAAGTGATGGGGCTGCGCTCCTTCCATGGGCTCTAGAGGAGCATCTGTTTTCTCGTCTTCTGTTTCTAGAGGCTCCCAGGTTTCCTGGCTCACATACCCGCTGCGTCCCTCCACCCCCACATCACTCTGCCTCGCTCTTATAAGGACCCTGTAATTACGTCATTGTGTCTACTTGGATAACTCAGGATCCTTCATTGAATCCCATCTGCCAAGTCCCTCTTGCCATGGTAACACAGTCACAGGTTGTGGGGATTAGGACGTGGACATCATTGGGACCATTGCTCAGCCTGCTACATGTCCCTTCTCTGCTGCTCCGCTAAGAAAAGTGAGAAGACCCTGCCCTGAGTCTTCACCCCCTGGGTCAGTTATTGGCTGGCTTTGCAAAGACCCTGACCTGGGCCCTGGCCTTCCCTCTTACAACATGCCTGGACATGTACAGCATCCTCCCAACGGACCCTCAGATCTTCCTCTCGCTAGAGCTCTGACTCCACGGCCACCCGCTGCTCGGAAGTCTGACTGCTCTCCAGCTCACCTCGCCCCGTCCACCCCCCGCTGGCTTCTCCAGCTCCCCAGAATGCTCCTCCATCCAACAGAGCTCACACCCAGACCGGGAAGTGCTCCTCCACTCCTCTCTCCCCGACCTCCCTGTTGGCCCAGGGAGGCTGCACTGACATCTGCCCAATGACCTCCTGGCTTCGACTCCTGCCCCCATCCCAGCCCATTCTCCACAAGCTGCTTAGCCAGCAAGGGCACACCTTCCTCCACGCCCTCCAATGTCCTCCCTCACTGAGGCCAAGACTCAACCTTTTATACAGCGACCTCCCAGGTCTGACCCCATGTGGCCCTCTTGTTCCTTCACAAGACACACCCATTCTCACCTCAGGGCCTTTGCACAGCTGCTCCTTCAACCTGAATCCTTCCTCTGCCTTTCCCAAGATGCAGGTGGCGTCACCTCCTCAGAGAGATCTTCCCATTCCCATCTGCATCCCTCTCATCTTTATTTCTTCAGGGCATGATCTGACGGGCTCACCTGCTTACCTGCACGCTGCCTGGCGCCCTCCACAGGAATGTCAATTCCATGAGGGCAGGGACTTTGCTGTCAGTGCTGGCTCCTCAGTGCCTGGCACGCAGCCATGCTCCAGATATGTATAGAGCGTTACGGGTTGAACTGTGTCCCCCTCCCACAAATTCCTATTCTGAATTCCGAATCCTTGGTACCTCAGAATGTGACTTTATTTGGAAATAGGGTCATTGCAGCTGTAATGAGCTGAGATGAGGTCATACTGGAGTAGGGTGGCCCCATCCAATCTGACTGGTGTCCTTATAGAAAGAGGAACCTGGGACACAGACCCACACACAGGAAGCACGCCACGTGAAGATCAGAGTTCGGCAGCCACAAGCCAAGGAGCTACCAGAAGCTTGGAGGGAGGCGTGGAACAGAACCTTCCTAGCACCTTCAGAGGGAGCATGGCCCCGCTGCCACCTTGATCTTGAGCTTCCAGCCTCCAGCACTGTGAGAACGCATTCCTGTTGCTCTACGCCACAGTTTGTGGTACTTTCTTATGGCAGCCCGGGAGGCTCACGCTGCATGAATGAATGGGCGGATGCATGCACGGGATTAGCTGGGCTCTGGCTCCAGCCCGGCTCCCTCCAACCCTGTGTCCACTTCACTGTCAGAGAGAGCATCCAAGTCAACCACCTCTTACTTGTCAAAAATATGTTATGGTTTCCCCCTCATTGGTGGAATAAAACCCAAACCCCACAGCACAGCAGCGGGGCCCTGCACAGATCATCCTGACCCCACCAAATTTTCTAGACTCAATTTCCCTCAATCTCCTTGCATCTTCAGATGCTGTTTACCCTTGCCCAAATCCCCCATTCTTGACCATCCTTCAAGGCCTGATAGCCCACTGTCCCTTCACCCCATAGCCCCGAGTAGGAATGTACCCTTCCCAAATCCTTCTTAAACACTCAACCAGTGTTTAAGAAGTGTACACCCTTCAACCCAGCTCAAAAGACCTGCTCTGCAAAACCTTCCAACACTCCCACTCCCTCAGAGCATACTGACTTCTCACTGTGTTTCCAAAGTCCTTAGGCCTCTTAGGCATGACCTATAGCTCAGATACTGCTTGTGTCCAGCTGTCTTGGCCAGCAGGCAGTGAGCTCCTAGAGTGGGCGGGCACCTTGTCTTTCTCATCTGTCACAGTGCCCAGCACAGGCCTGACAAAGGTGCCTACTGGGGGCCTGTTTGACAAACGACAGAACAAAGCACAATAGGACCCTGTGGTTTTCCTGCTTATGTCTGACTCACTCATTCACCAAACATGAAATGCACCTTGAGCACACGAGACCCTGCGCTATTTGCAGTCCCTGCAAGGCCTGGTCCTTGTCTCACCCCTGCCTTCCAAGGGGCTTTCTGTCTTCCACAGGGGGCCCTTCCTCAAGCTTAGCCCAGTGATGTAGAAACAGGAAAGCAAAGAAGATGCTGTATTTTCCAAGGATATTTCTTCTGTCCACCACGCACACACTCACCACCATCCACACCATGCAGGCTCAACATGAAAACCCACCACAAAGCACAGAGCCACCACGTGCCCTAGGTGGCTCATTAAATGCCATGTGAAGGGAAGGAAACAGACCCTGCATGGCTTCCACCCCTGTGATTCCCAGACAGACGTCCTATTTTAGTGGGTTAACCACTACATCCATCTCCAAGGCACCCAAGCCTCCAGTGAGGGGTGAGGGCTTTGGACCCCATCTTCCCTCTAACTTCCGGTCTCCCAAGTCAGGGCAGATGGGGGCAGAGTGAGCAGCCTCACTGCATGGCACAGAGAGCAGCTATGGCCTCTGCTGTGCTCTCAGCTGCTGAGTGGTGGCCAGAGGGCATGCCAGTCTCCAGCTCCAGGTGGCTAAGCCGGTCATTACCCCAGCTCCACCACTTCCTGGTGAGTGAGGCAGAAACACGTGGGCTGCCTTCCAGGAGCAGCTCAACCAGGTAAACCCTTGGGCAGCAGGTAGAAGCAGGAAGCTGATGCTTCCAGATGCCGCAGAGGCCCCCAGCCACGCCCCAGCAGTAGGCTGGCTTGGCTGGGACATCCCCAGCTCAGGTGCACTGGCTGCCTAAGCCACACCCAGATCGTGCCAGGTCATGACCAGGCTTTGACCCATGCCTCCGTCTGGCAGCATCCTGCTGAGGTGACCCATTTTCCTGCGCAGGCATAGGAGAGAGGAGGCCAAGTTTTAAGAACCAAGGATCTATGCACACCCATTTCCGGGACTCTATTGCCACAGGAAAAGCCCCGGCTAATCATCTCACAGGGTCCCCCAGCAGCCCATCACACAGATGTGCAAAACGGTGCTGAGGGGGAAAGCAGACCAACCAAAGCCTCCTGGCTTTCCAAGAGGTGGAATTGAGACTTGAACCCAGGGCTGTGTGGACCCAACTCAAGCCACCCAGCCCTCACTCCACAGGCTCCCTGTAGCCCCCCTGCTCAGGGTTGAAGGGTGTTAGGCAACCATCCCACCCAGTCCCCTGTAGGATGCCTGACCCCACAACCTGGAAGGTGAGCTGATGTAACTCAAAGAGCACTGAACTGAGAGTCCAGAGGTCTGGGTTCAAGTCCCAGGTCCACCACAATCAGTACCAGCCCTTCCCTGCCTGGCCTCAGTTTCCCCACCTGCCCAAGCCCAGGGTTAGCCTGGCTCAGAGGGTTTCTGGTCCCATTCTGTGCAGACAGGGCTCTCCATCAGGGATTCCCGAGTGTTTGCTTTTCCCCTACCCGTAACTCATGCATCTCACAACTTGAGGCAGCCTCTCCACGTGGGTCCTGACTCCAAAGACGGAGACCGTCCAGCCGCCCGCGGGGAGAGGCGACCTGGCCCCCCTGCAACCCCTAGATCCTCTCGTGGGGTTGGGGCACGGGCCGGGCCCTCGGGTGGGTGGGGCCGTGGGCTGCTGACTGGGGGGCTGCTTAACTAAGAGGAGGTGACCGGTAGCTCTGCAGCCTCCCTGTCCCCGCTCCCGTCGAGGGCTCCCACCCAGCGCCGTCGGGGCGGACCCGCTGGGGGCGGGGACTCGGGGCCGAGCTGGACCTCCTCAGCTGCGCGTCCACGGGGGACAACGGGGTGCAACCTGGCCCCCAGCATCCGTCCGGACTCCGTTTTCCAGGGGGTCGGAAGGCGGGGGGGGCGGGTGTGGGTCTGAAACTCGCGCCCGAACCCCGTTCCGCGGGTGCTCCCGCCCCGGCGGCGATCCCGCCAACTCCGCCCCCTGCGCGCTCCCCCTTCGCGATTCCCCAAGATCACTGACCATAGTGACCGGAGCCGCCGGGCTAGGTCCCGCCCCAGCGAGGAGCGATCCGGTGCGGGAGGTGCCGCGGCTGGCGCGGGCGGGCTCCGCCGCTGGGTCGGGTGGCGGGGACCTCGAGGGCGTGGGGGCAGCGGAGAATACACCCGACCGCTCCGCAAACCAAAGGTTAGACCTCCACTGTGTCCCAGCAAGATACACGCCCCGCGATTGACGTCGCAGGAGAGCAATCAGGAGCCGGGCCGCAGGACGTCATAGAAAGTGGGTGGGACTTCATGCTCCTTCAGCCTATGCTTTAGGGCCCATTTGACAGGATGCCTCCCCCTTTTAAAGACACAGAAAGCTTTTAACTAGCTGAGGAGTTAGCTCAACCCAGGAAGACAGGTCTTCGTTTGTAAAAGGCTGAAGGGCTTTTGAGCAAACCGAAAATTGGAGTCTTCGGAAGGATTAGCTGGCCCTCATTAATTCATAAACAAGGTCACATAAGTATAGTTTGCACAAGATCAGAGGATAGGCGCTTAGGGAACACGTGTCCAATAACATTAAGTGTGGCTTCTATATAATATTTTACCCCCTTCCAACTCATGAATCAGTAGGTTGCCACGCACCCAATTGATGTTTGTTGGATGAATAAATGTCCCGGATCGTTGACTGTGTGGCTCTGGAATTGTAGGGATATCCGTGAACCAGGTCTAGATGACTCACCTTGCGTACAAGCTCATTATTACTGGACATCAAAATAGGAATATTTATCACTCAAAGATTCATTCACCAGCCCTTGAGTCCTGGAGGAGCTGCTCTGGGTGTGGGAGGGAGTTTGTAGGGGAAGGGGACTCAATGCACTGCATGCATCCACTTTAGAATATTAACATTTCCAGGAGCGTGTATTGAGCCATTCCCCTTCCTGCCGCCCCCCCCCCCCCGCCACTGCCCCCACTTGCTCGGTAAGCCCCAGGCACCGGGCTAAGCTCTAGGCAAACAGGCATCTGAAACCATGTATCACGTCCTGGGTAGGGAGTGTGGAGTTAATGGAGGCTCCAGGCGCAGTAACAACTACAGCTAACTTTTTACAGTTATTTATACGGTTATGCAGAACACTTAACATGTATCCGGCGCTATCCTGAACTCTCCACAGAATTATTATTATTATTATTTAGATGGAGTCTCTGCTCTGCTGCCAGGCTGGAGTGCAGTGGCAGCGATCTCAGCTCACTGCAACCTCCGCCTCCCAGATTCACGGGATTCTCCTGCCTCAGCCTTTCGAGTACCTGGGACTACAGGCGCATGCCATTACGCCCAGCTAATATTTGCATTTTTGGTAGAGACGGGGTTTCACCATGTTGGCCAAGATGGTGTCAATCTCTTGACCTCGTGATCCACCCACCTCGGCCTCCCAAAGTGCTGTGATTACAGGCGTGAGCCACCTTGCCTGGCCAGAATTATCTTACTTAATTTCCTCACAACTAGTTTTTGGGGGTAGGTCTTGTTAATATTGTCCCTATTGTACGATGAGGAAACAGGTACAGAGAGTTTAAGTTCCCTGTCTAAGTCCACACAGCACTCAAGTGGGATTCAGTCCCAGGCAGTGCGGTGCGACTCCAGAGCTGGTTTGAATTCACTCTGCATGAGACAACAGGGGCTGTGTTACCCACCCCTGTCCTTGACCTCCGTTTGCTTTCAGAGGGTTTCTGCTTTTTTTTTTTTTTTCAGCCAAGGAAGCCAGAAAGGTGACAGGAACAGCCCAGTGCTGCTGAGCTAAGAAGTGGCCTGGCTGGACTGGATCCCCGGATTCCTGACTCCCTGACCACTGCTCATTCTAGGGGATGTTAGGCTTCCCTCTGTGGAGGACTGGCTGAGCCACGTTCCATGGTGTCTGGGTGCGGGCATGGGTGAAGAGTTTCTGGCCAAGGCTTCCATGAGCCCTCAAGTTGGCCTGCACTAAGCCCTGAGCCCTGGGCCCACTCTACACCCTTCCTCAGGTCCCAGCAGTTCTAAACCAAGCCAGCACTGAAGTGTGGAAGGAGCACGGGGCTGGATTCCCTGAGAGATTCTGGGCCCCTGGCTCTGGGCTCTGCCACTCACTGCTGTGTGGCCCCAGGCAACACCCGGGCCCTCTTTGGTCTTCTGGTTCCTCACTCACTGAGAAGATTAGACAATCTAGGTGGTTAAAAATGTTTAAAAATATATATATTTAGTAATGAAGCCTTTAAACAAACACACACGCACGCACACACACACACACACAATCTTACAAGCAGCTCAGTGTATGTGTAATAGAATATTTCCTCAAATTTAGCTCAATGAGCAGGGAAAATGTAATTTTAGTCTAACTAATCAGGATTCTTGTAAGCTCTCTAAAGCCTGGTTAGAAGAGAAAAAATGTTGCAGAAGCGTTCTGTGGTTTTTTGTTTCTTTGCTGTTGTTGTTTGAGACAGAGTCTTGCTCTGTCACCCAGGATGGAGTGCAGTGGCGTCACCTTGGCTCATTGCAACCTCCGTCTCCCAGGTTCAAGCAATTCTTCCCCAGCCTCTTGAGTAGCTGGGATTACAGGCATGTGCCACCATACCTGGCTAATTTTTGTATTTTCTTTTTTTTTTTTTTTTTTAGTAGAGATGGGGTTTCACCATGTTGGCCAGGCTGGTAGCAAACTCTTGACCTCAGCAGATCCCTCTGCCTCGGCCTCCCAAAGTGCTGGGATTACAAGCGTGAGTCACCGCACCTGGCCCTGTGGATTTTCAACCTGGGTCCATGTTTAAAATGTAGACAGCGTCTTTAGGGGCTGCTCATGGCAGGGTGTCCACGTATCCTGTCTGGAATGAATTTGCTCCCTTCTTCCTGCACCCCTTCTCTCTGTTGTCCAGGTGTCTGGGTGGAGGGGTCTAGGAATGGCAGCTGTCACTTCACAGGTCCAGAGAAGCAGGAGGCCTTGGGTGTCCTATCTTCCAGCAAAGGATGTGAGTACCTGGGTGCTGGGTGATGGATGCCCCAGATTTGGAGGCTGGGTCCTGCTGCCCATGCCACTCACAGTCTGGCCCTTCTCAGCCTGGTCAGACCCAGCGAGCTCTCCGGGGTTGATGTCATCCCCGTCTCTGCAGTGTGGCCCCAGCCCACCTTTCTCATCTTCTCTCCCTGACTTCCCCACTTGTCCAATAGTACGTGAGCTTACAGGGATGGCTTTAAGAGCCTGGACCCCTCCTCGTGCTCTTGCACCTCTACGCACCTTTGCTCCTCCTGGAATGTCCACTTGTCAAATACCACCCATCCTTCAAAGCCTGGCTCCTCATCCATGAGGCCCTCTCAGATTGCCCAGACGGTCATGAATCCCTTTGAATGTCCCCACCATGTCTGTACTCCTTTGGTGCCGATCCCTTTGGAGGGAGCAGTGGGACATGGTAATTATGAGTGTGGGGAGTGAAATCAAGTATGTTCATGCCACCTTTCCCATGGCATTACTCCTTGAGCAAGTCATACCTCTCTGGGCCTCAGTTTCCTCATCTGTAAAGTGGGAATGTTCATTCCTATATCAAAGATTACATGAGATGATAGCGGAAAGTACTTAACATTGTGCTTGGCATTCAGTAAGTGCCTAATAAATGTGGGCTTTGCACGGTGGCTATTCGGGGCCTGAGTCTCCTTCCTCTTGGTGTGACAAAGCCTAAAGGGGATAAGGTCACCATGAGGCCTGAGCCTCGTGGTTTCTGTTAGCTGGTATAGAGTGGCATGTGACCGGGAGGAGCTGCGTCAAGGATGGTGTCTGGGTGTCTGAAAAGGGGGCTGTCTGCCATTTCCCTAGATCAATGGCTTGAAGCTATGTCAGAGGGATTCCAGGCAGCCACACCATGCTGGCAAGAGTGGCCATTTTCCTGATGCTGATTACACTGTGCTATTTTATTCACTTGACAATGCCTTCCCCACCCTGCCAGCTGTGGGCAGAGTGCTTGGTAAGAAGACTGGGCCCCCAAGATGTAAAGCACTTCACCTCTGTGCAGAGTGCAGACTCGGCCCAGACTGAGTTTCTTCTGCTGGGTGCTGGCACTGTCCTCCGGCAACTTTGAGCTGGAAAACTTGAGATACAAAGTCAGGTGTTGTTTCACTGCTGGGAAAGATCAGAAAGAGGAAGAGCCCTCCCCTCACTGCTCCCAAGCCCCAGTCCCAGGGAGCAGAGCTGGATGCTGGCGCTGTGGCCAATGGCTGTCCTGGCTCCTACCCTCAGGGTCAAAGGTGAGAAAGAGGCTTTTGTTTTTGAGAAAAGAGGCTCTTTCTAGGAAGAACACTGGGTTCTTGGGGGATTCAGGAATGGGGAAGTGGATCCGGCTGAGTAGGGAGAAGTTTCTGGAATCCAGGAAGGGTAGAAGCAGGTGTCCTGGAACAGAGGAGACTCACAGTGCAGCGCAGTGACTCCTCATTCACAAGCCACTTGTGGAACCCAGAGAGGACAAGCCTGTGTTGTGTGAGGGAACTCGGGCCCTGGCATGGTGGGGACTCCTTTGTCCTTCCCTTAGGGTCATGTTTTGGGCAAGGGGTGTAGCCACAAGGCAAAGGCATTCATTCAACACTCCCACAAAGAGTTACTGGACATCTACCAGGTGACATCCCTGCATGAAACTGACAAAGTCGCTGCTGTCACTCAGCTTACATCCTCCTGGGGAAATAATCTCCAATTGCTCTGCAGTAAGTTGCCCTGGACCAGGCCCCTCAATGGGGTTGGGGGTGAGGATGGGGAGGGAGCTCCCCCAAATAACTGAGGTTTAATTTTCCACCAGCCCAGGGATACAGGACATACAGTGAATTCATTTTTGAGAGGAGAAACAAAAGAACCGTCAGATTTCTTGAACCCCCAGAGAGGGCTCCAGAGGAGGCATGAATGGCTTTTCAAGTGGAGGCAGGGAAATCGGGAGGAGAAGTCATTTTACAAGGCTGGGTTGGGACCATGGCACGGCCCCCTCTTCAGCTTACCCACAGCCCCAGGAGAGTAACAGATGGGCCCATTTTCCAGCCAACCACCCCTTTATGGGATATCCAGGGCCTGGGTTTTGAAAGATGGCGTTTTTCAGTTCACATGGCAAATGCATGTACCCCGTGCAGCCTTCTGGGCTGGGCAGAAAACCATCTCTAGTTTCTACGGGAGAAGGTGCATTTGCTGTGGTTTTCAGAAAGCCCAAGGCCAGTAGGAGGTCCCCAGGTTTGGAGAGAGCTACCTGTTCCTGTCCC